GTTCTTCAATATCCTTGAAGAAGAATGAAGGTGAACCTGTCTCCCAGCTAAAGTATTCTCAGCTTATTGGATCTTTCCTATACATATCCAACTCGACCAGACCCGATATAGCTTATACTGTAGGGAGACTGAGCCGGTATACTAGCAACCCTAGCCAAGACCACTGGTCTGCCTTAGAAAGAGTATTCAAATACCTGAAAGGCACAGTTGACTATTACTTGACTTGCACTGATTACCCTGATGTTATAGAAGGGTACAATGACACCAATTGGGTCACAGATTCTAACAGTGTAAAGTCAACATCTGGATATGTATTTCTTTTTTGTGGTACAGCTGTATCCTGAAAATCCTGTAAGCAAACAGTGATTGCCAAGAGCACCATGGAGTCTGAATTGATTGCTCTTTATATCACTTGCACAGAAGCAGAATGGTTAAAAGATCTTCTCTCTGAACTTCCTTTGGTCCCTAAACCCTCTCCTCCTATTTCCATTCACTATGATTCTAGATCCACCATAGAGCTTCTAAAGCAAGTGCATGTAAATAAAAAACTTAACAGACATATTCAAATAAAGATATAAATCTGTACAACGCCTATTAGGCAAAGTTATGATCTTGGACTTTGTAAAGTTTGAGAAGAATCTTGCTGACCCTTTGACTAAGGAATTATCCAGGAGTGTGGTTCTGGATTCATCGAGGGAGATGAGGTTAAGCCCATAGATGAGGTCACTGACAGCAGTAACCCAACCTTTATTTGGAAACATAGTCCCAATTGGTTCAATGTGGTAGAAACAAGCTGGACAAGTGACACTCGTGTGGAGCATCAACCTAGATATATTTATATATCATTATGTAGCATTTACTCCTATCCTTCTCTATGATGACGATGCTCTTATGATACAGTTGGTTAAGCTGAGTTTTACTCTTAATAAGTCCAACGCGTGTATTACGGAGGGTATTATATCCAGCTGTAGTACCCTTGGAGGACTTACCTACGTGAGAGGAACCGTGATGGCCGCGGTTGGGGGGCCTGGGCTAACCCCTAAAAACTCTCATGAGTCGGTTATTGTTAGCATGACCTTTAACGCTCAACCAGCTTTGCTCAATAGATGAAGATGTATTGTATGTATTTTCGTCAATACTTGGTTCAAGTGGCCTAATTCAAGGCCTAGTCCATTATGTCCCTCAGGTGGCGATGAACTCATAAGGAAAAGTTCAAAGCCAAAAGCTACATCTCCCGAATTTACGATATGAAAGGTTGCCCAACCTATATCCTTTTTATAATTTATTGATATATTTATTGATTTTGAGTTTTCAGTCAATATTGCCTTTTGGGGGGGGGACTGTTGGATATTTTGTTCATGAAAAGGCAAATTTGCGTTTGTGAATAGTCCAACATTGGAAAATGGAAGGAACTTCAAGAGGTTTATATTGGTTCACATTTTATTGAGCATTGAATAGTGTTTTGGGCTTTGTGGGCTTTGCATAACTCACACGCGCGCGCACGCGCGCCCCTCGCCACGCCGTCGCCGCCGCTCGCACGCGCCACGCCACACACTTACACTTACACTTTTTTGGATCTCAGTATTTTCATTTTTCCATTTTCATTCTGCGTGACTTGTTCGTAACGAATGCGGAATTGGCGTGAGGAGTTACGCGGATCCTGCGTAATGTATGTGGATTCGGAACAACGGCTCTTTGGCCTCCAGCTCCTATATATATCGGGGTTCTCCTCCTCGGAAGACATAGTGAAAAGCAACATCCTCTCTTCTTCTACAAACGATTCTTTCTCCATTTCTTTCTCAAAGTTTTGTTACCGTGCTCATTATTTTTCCGGGCAACCATTTTCGTCTGAGCAGAAGCTCTGCTACTCTCGCCCGAGTACAGAGCCCGGTCGTTTTCCAGGGGTTTTTACCGCTAGGGGGAGAGGATCGATTACGTCAGGGCGATAGGCGGGTCCTCTATCTTCTAGGATAGTGAAATCACGACTGCACCTGTTCAGACATGATGTTCTAACTTTTTAATTTCGGATTTATACTAATTATTTTCTTTTTTGACAGCAAATCCTACAAAAAAAATTCCCAACATTGAGGGCTTGTTTGGGTTGAGGGGAATAAGGGTGAAGGGAAGTTAGGGGAACCATTTACCTCCATTTACCTTGTTGGGAACATTTAGAAAATGAAGTTATTCACCCTAGTTCCCCTTGATTCACCCCCTAATAGTATAAAATTTATTACCCCAAATTGGGTGTAACCAAAGAGAAGGGAACTTGTTCCCTTCCATTCTCTCACCTACTTTCCCTTTTAACTTCCCTTCACCCCTACAAATCCAAACAGGCTCTGAGGTGATTTAAGAGACTGTCACCGACCTCAACAGAGCTCCCCCTCACTTCTCGAAGCACAACCTTGTCGAGGCCATTGACGCCCTTCACAATCTCAACTTGAGGCTTCTCACCCGCCATCGCTCAATTCCCATAACCATTTACTTTCCGTTTTCCTTTCCTTTATTTAACTTTCCATAAATGACAGCTACCTGCGTCATTTCGAAATCCTGTTCTTAGATCGTGATCCGCTCCCAATCCTTCTCTCGATCGCGATTGCTCCCGATCAGCCCCGCTCTCTCGCCCCCGGTCTCTAGAAACCCTAACCCTAGATCGATTGCGGGATTTCTATCTTTTGCCCCCCGATCTCTCTCTCCCCTCTCTCCACTTTCGTAGAAATCCTAACCCTAGATCAATTGCGGATTTATTTAGCAAGCCCTATCATCCTTCTGGTAGTGGCAATGGCGATCCAAGGCCAAAGTGAGTCCTTTACTACTCACTTTCTCGTTGTAGTTTCATTGCATTTTCTTATTCACTTATTTCGTTTTTCTCAACTCACGATCACTGAACTGGGTCAAAAAGTACAGCAAGCAAGGATCTTTGTTGTTAATTTCTTGTTTTTACTCTTAATTACCGTCCAGGCGTAACATAGAGAGACTAATGAATTTGATTATTTCAGAGAGAAATAAGTAACAAACCATGTCAAATTATGATTAAAAAATAGCCTGACTGGTGATGTAGCTGATTTTTTATGTAATTAAGGTAGAAACCAGTTGAATCATTGGGTTAAAATTTTGTTAGCTCTTGCACTTTCATATTTTACTAGAAGCATCTATATAATTAATGAGTGATTGCTGTGTTATGTCTGCAATTACTTGAATTCATTTGCAAGAAAGGATATTTTTTTTAGTATATATTGCATTCTGTAATTTGGAAATCATCACATACTGATGGAGTGATCACAATTACGCTCCATTATTGTCATTTTCATCGGAGCTCATGGTGGTCATGTAAAAACAAAAAGATAGCTTTGTATTTACCAAATAAACGTATGGTGTTCGTTGCAAAAAAGCTGCTAGAGATTTTGTAACTTCAGATATGTCTTTGGCATAGATACACCAAGAAATTATGTGTCTTAGGTTATTTTTATAAAGTCACAGCTGCTACAAATAGTCATCCTGTATTGTATGTTGAATTTTGCACTAACTGGTACATGGGTAATGCACATGAGCTCTCATTGTAAATACTACATTTTTGAAGTTTATGTATGTGCATTTGTAGTAAATACTTTCTCCTGAAAATCATATGACTAATGGGACTGCACACACATGCAAATTTCATGATCATTCGCGTGAAAGTTTCTTATAATTGCAGCAAAAATGTGATTATATATTGGAAGCACGTTGAGTAGGGTTGCACACTTCAGAAAGATTTTTGCCTTTTTATTCTTTCATATATTTGGCCCCTAGATTAGTGGATCTGTGCAAAAGAGTAAGGTAGCTTCTCATTTGAATTTTCTTTGATGACTTTTGTCTCATTCTTTCTCCCAGTACATGTTTAGGCTTCTCTTAAAAAACTCCGAAGCCAAAAATAGTCTCCTTCATTGCCACTCTTGGAACTGACACCACTTCATATGCTAGTTTTAAACATTGAAAATGTCATTTGATATGTCTGTTATAATGCATACTTTTTCAAGTTACGTTTATTCACCTACATGATAGTTTTAAATGTATATATTGGCTCCTAATTCAACCTCCATACTGCAATCTTAGCCCAATCTTAAGGTACATTAACTTTTTAGTGATGTTAATTCCAACAATGGAGCATATGTAGGGGTGGGTGTGGGCTGGGTTGGGTCTTGATCCAAGGTGAGCTGGCCCAGTTTGACTAGCAGTTCGGGCTGGCCCACGCCTACCCCTAAGCATATGCTGATGGTTATTAGGTTGTTCCTTGTAATTAGGTTCCTCTATCATGTAATTCCATTTTTATTAATATTTTTTTGACTTTTCTGTTCTCTTTTTGTTGTTTCTATTTTAGACCAACTGGAGTCTCAATATCATTTGCCTACTCACTTATTTTTGAGAATTACATATTTTGCCGGTCTTAACTTTTGAGTGGCAAATTGCTTTGGTATTGCTTTATATGCATGCATAAGGAGTCATAGCCATAGGTCATCAATCGTTAGAAACACTCTGGTCATGTAAGTGTTAATAGATTTCCTATTGACCTTGTTTAAATGCCCCTTCATTTAGTTTTGCACGATTAAAAATATTTAACAATCTTATGTCAAACCTACCCAACATGAGCTTGCATAATAACTTATAGCTAGCAGGAGAAATAGCACAATTCCCCTTTTTTTGTTGACTCACTTATGCTAAAGACTTTTTTGCAAGAATAGCTTGATTTGTGCATATATTTATATTTAAGTAGATGTCGAGATTACTTAAGAATGTGTTTGTATTGGAAGAAATGTAAGTGCGATCTACCTTTAATCTCCAGTAAGGATTACATAGTGGAAGTATATATATGGACAAGTTTTTATGGACTGAAGATAAAAAAACTCTGTGAAGCATTTATCATGATAAGCCATATGGCTTTTCTTTAATTTATGACATCTAGCAATGCTCTTTTTTCCCCTTTTGCCTACATATTATGATCAAGTTATAATCTTTATTACTACTTTAGAGTAAGAGAATTTATTTTGAATTAAATGTGGGTTTTTACATATTTTTTTAGGTTTGTCTTGTCCACTAGTTTAGTGAATTGAAATTCTAAAAGTTCTCAAAAAGTTAATCGAGAATTCTAGAACTGAATTGCTTCCCAAACACTGAATTTAGAATTGATAATTCCAGATTTGAAATTACAGTAATTACCAAACAACGAAATAAGAATTGAAATTATAAAATTTAAATTCTAGAATTTGAAATCAAATCCTCGAATCCAAAGGCAACCTAACTACTTAATAAATGTAATACCATTTGAAGCACAACCCAACTACGGCCCAGCGCCAATGCTAGTGAAAATGACAGTCCAACCCAAAGCCCAGCATCACTCTGCTCTCTCTCTCTCTCCCTCTCTCTCTCTCTCTCTCTCTCTCTCTCTCTCTCTCTCTCTCGCGCGTCGATTCCCTCTTTCATCCTAGAGTCTCGTCGGCATGGGGAATTTGCAGATCTGAGATCTCTGTAAGTTTTTCTTTCTCTTTCTCTATTTCTTATTTCCCAAGCCATTTGCTGATTGTTTTTTTCTTGTTTGTTTCACCCAAAAGTGTCGAATTCTTTACAAATTCTTATTTGCAGAAATTATCATCAATACTTCAATTTTAGCACGTGTTCATGCAATTTAGACTTCCATTTTTGCTGGAGAGAAGGGGAGCTTGGCTGATATCTTTTTGATTTTCCCCTTCATGATGAAATACATGACGTTTTGTTGATTTTGAGGGAGATCTGTCGGGTTTGGATGAAATCCTTAAAGTAAGGGAAAAAAATACATGACCTCGTTACTATTCATCAAGTGAATTATGCAGTTATTTTGATGTATAGGTTTGGAAATGAATTCTGCAACCATTTTGATGTTTGATAAATTAGCAGTCTGTATAGATTTGGTATCAAGCATTTATGCCAAGTCACAATGAAAAGTTCGTTCATTTTCATTAGTTGGTGTTGTTTCCTTGTTTAATTCTCTCCTCACTAGCAAAAGTTACTTCATTCCGTTGATTTTGTATGGGATACTGATAAACCCACACAATGAAGAAACCGATAAATCATTCATTTCTTCATGTCAAGTGAATTTTTTTTGTATTGTGACATTTGACAGTCATTAATTTTATAGGTTATAATGGATGAAGTTGTAGTGGCAGTCGAGAGTGTGAGAAAGGAGTGGGATCAAACATTTGTTCAGACTCAAGAACATGTGAGAGCAATTGAGAGTTGCGGGAAATCCGGAAGAGGGACAGAGGAAGCGAATTCGCTTCCTAGATTGAATGGTGCTGCACAAGACGGAATGGCGGTGCTCAGGTCATTGCAGGTTAAGCTCGACCTTCTAGCCCATCAACTTCCCACAGAAGAGGAGGTGCAGTCTGCGAATGCAATGTGGAAGTCTTGGAAGGAGCAGTATCAGAGGTATAATACTATTTTTTAGTTGAACATGTATTTTGTTATGTGTTGATTTTTTAATGTTGTCTTTAACTTTTTTTTCCTCCTTCCCAGTTTTTGCATATGAGCTTGAGGGATGCTAATTTGCAAGTAAAATCCAATATCCAAAAGGCGGCACAGGAAGAAGCCAGTTGCCTCTTATGCTTCATTAGTTTTTTTCTCTATCCTTACTTTGCACTTTGTTTTTTGTACTAATAGCCCCAATTAATGCACGATAACTTTGCTTCATCTGACTTTTAGGTGTTCTTGTCCAATTAATCAATCTAGTTGACCACTCTTAATTGTTCCTAATGGAAACTTTGTGCAACTGTCTTGTCTCTTTTATTTTCGGTATAATAGAACTGATGTTGGATGCTTTTGTTTGCAGAGAGAGCTGCTTTTAGGAGGTGGAGAAGAGTCTACAATTCGTAGACGTAATCTACAGTGAGCACTATTCTTTTAGCGAAACATTTGTTTATCACCGAGATAGAATGAATGTTGTAACGACTATTTGTTGCGTATTGAATGCTTTTCTAATAACTAGCTTTAACGCATGTGTGCACTTGGGTAGTGTAAATCTCATATTAATAATAAACATTACCTACCCTGAAATATGCCAGAAAGTTCATATGAAGGTTTTACACATACTGAAATTTTACTTAACTTTGCTATTACCATAGCATGGCTATCTTTCTTTCAATTTTTGGTAGCAAAGTTAGTTTAAAGAGCTTAATCATTATTCATAATTTCTAGGACAAAGGCTGGAATGACATCTGCTGCAGAAAGCATTACTGAAAGCCTTCGACGTACTTGTCAATTGATGGTTCAGGTGGGTCTAGAAGGTTTTTAGTCTTGCTAAATTTTCTCTATGTTTAGCTTATTGATGGGTTAATGTAACTGATTGTTTGATCATTGATGATTTTTACAGGAGGTTGAAAGAAGCACAAGTACATTGGGAACTTTTGGTATGTTATTTGAAGTCTTGTTGTGGAAGTGATAGCAAGTGGTATTCTTTTACATATTTGCTGTATCTTGCTAATGGCCTTTCAGTCTTTAAGTTATCTCTTTATTTGTTAAATTATTTGTTGTACTCATCCAATTATGGTTTTACCCCATAGAACACCCTTCTTTTCTGATGTTTCTTTTGTAATGTTAAATCCTATTGGAGCATCTGCGGTTTTACTCTAATTATATGTCTTAAATTTCTGAAGAACCAAGCTGGAAGTGCTTTAATCTTCTTGATAAAGTTATCTGATTTGGACTCCATAGTTGCAGTCTCAACATTTGTGATCAAGGTTTTAAACGTCGGATGTCGGGTTCATATCGGACGGTTAAGATTCATGCAGGATAGCGGAAATCGGGGATATATTGGGGGACATGAAAAAAATATCGGATTGCCATATCAGATGGTGTGTATATATGTAATATAAATATCATAAATGAAATCTTAACATACTTAATAAATTTTATTGTCTAACCATATAAAAAAAATAACTTATGATGCTTAGGGTTAGACTTTGAAGGAAAGAGACGAGAAAAGAGGAGTCCGATGTTGGTAGTTAAGGAGAGAAGATCACCCAATATTGATGTGGAAGGAACAGCTCGGAGAAGAGACCAATGAGATGTCAAAGGAGAGAGAAGAGAAGCGACGGAAATGACTTCGGATTGTTTTTTTATTTCCCCTAACTGATCTAGTTTTATCTTTGGAAGCAACATTAAGACAAACAAGAATGTAAATACAAACCTGATTAGACAAACATAACCAAAAAATCAACCAATTTTTCAAACTAAAAAATCTGCCGACATACCTGACATATCCCCCAATATATCTGCCCGACATATCCAACATGTCTCTCGATATATCTGGCATGAACTTTGAAAACGCAATACGTAGGCCGACATGTCCGACATGGCGGCCAACATTTAAAACACTGTTTGTGATTGCATAAATATAGTTCTTTTATGTCAAGAAGTAATATCTGTGAGTCACGTCAGGATAATAACAACTTCTCACTGGTTTTTACACAGATATGGAGTACATAGCAAACAGAGATGATCATTGCTATCACTGACAGGGGCACATAATGGATAATCTACAAACACTCTAATATGTTAGGCTTCCCTAGTCAATGGTTGATTTCTTTACTCTCTTAAGTGTCTGACTTCCCCTAATCAACGGTTAATTTCTTTACTCTCATAATTGTTTGCACACACTAGATTGACAGGAAAAGCATGATGTGCTCTAATATTCTCTTGTTTGAGGATACATATGTGTTGCCATTTACCATCATCCGTCATCCCTGAATGATTTTCTCAGGCAGGACCTTGATTTTAGGAGTTAGCTAAAAAAACAAATACAACAAACCTTTTAATTGTCAACTGTGTTATTAGGGCCTATTTCTGCTCCTCATTACTCCATTCACTAAACCTAAGCTAGCTGATGCAATTATTGACCTCCATTGCACATGCCCAAACTATCTTGATTAATTTTCTCTCATTCAACTCATTTCTATTCCTGGTAGGAATTACCTCTAACCTCTCAGCCTTTTTTTTCTTTTTCTATCTCAGTGTTGTTATATGTCAATATCAGCATTCTCAATACTTCTGTACTCATTTTTGGAGAATTTGTACTCTTTGGTTTTGGCTAGCCTGTTACGGCTTTAAGCTTTTCAGGATGGGGTTATGAAATGTGTTTAGTTTCCAGAAATATATAACTTATTACATAAATAGTGTATGGCTGATCAATCAGGTACAATAAAAACGCTTCATGGATAAATGGGTGTACTGTCAAAGAAATTCTCTGACTTCTTTCATTAAATTTCGGTTCGTGGATTTTTGGTCTTTACAATATCCTGCACATGAGATAGTTTTACATTCAACCGCCTGTTCCACTGTTATCTATTTCACTATTTAGATATCAACTATATTGAGAAAGAAAACTAAATAAAAGAGAACTTTGGTTGTGGCTGCTATAGAGAAACTTAAAGTATGGCTGGTTACATTCTGCCAGACTTCATGGAAGACGCTTAGGCCACGCGAGCTTTGTGGTAATTTGAATACATCTAGAAATTAGAAAATTCAAGCATCGCATGTTTGTCATAGTTTTCGGTGGTGGTGGTTGGTGATGATGGTGGTAGTGGTTTTGAGGGTCTTAAGAACTCTAAACTAGTACAAATGTAGATAGCAAGGGAAGTTTGGGTTTTTGTTACTGTCTTAAGAATTTTAAACTAGTACCAATATTGATTTGGTGCTGAGAAATTATTAGTTAACTTCCTTAAACGAGGACATGTATGAAACATATTAATACACTAATCAATGTGCAGCCGCTGGTTATGAAATTGGTTTCAAGTTAAAGGACAAATATGATGCACAGTTTCTACTTGGGTTCCTTGGAACATAGAGAACGCGACTAGGGATCAGCTTGTGCCTCCTGGATGACTATTTATGATCTCAAGGATAGGGGATTGGTTTAATCGCTTGAGAGCTTCTATACATGGTGCTGAGATATTATTACCTTCTCTAAATTTGGGACATGTATCAAGAGAGCGATCAACTTATAAATGCAGTTTTGAAATTGGTTTGAAGCGGATAGGCTACTACATATTCTATCAAGATTACTTGGAATATAGAGGAGTTGATTAGAGATTAGCTTAAGGCAATATATTTGCAAAGAATGTAGCATCATATCTGAATAGAGCCACAATATCGATGTTGGGACATCTGTATATTTGGTATTGGGTGACTGGAAACTGCATGTGTGACATTAGAGGATCTCTTGCTGATTGGCTCATCATTTCAAAGATAAAAGAGATGTCGCAGTTGATTTTTCCGCAACTTTCAATACTGGAGCAATTATCATCAACAAACTTGAAAACTAAAAACGTCATTGACAAATATTTCTGAGCTCCATTTAAAGCATCACAACATGCCCTAAATGACCAGTGTGGCATGATTTTCTTTCAAAATAATCGTAGCAAATAATACTTATTATAAAGGTCCAAGTAGCTCATGGATTAGTTCCATTTTCCAGATCAGAGAATGTATGAAACTCATTATCTTCTGGACCATAGAATCTTTTGAGATGCATAAGTTGCCACAGAATTCTTCTTATATATTAGTTGTTTATACCTCGGCTTGTTTTCCTTCTAACTTATGGATATATTATTTGTCAAACAGAGGGATCAACTAGTTTCTTAAAAAAGGCTGAGAGTGAGTACAAAGGCCATCGCTCTTTACTGATGCGTACTAGGAGATTGCTATCCACAATGCGTCATCAGGATGTCTTGGACAGGTAAAACATCTCTACTTTGTTAGTGACAAGTAAAGCAATTTATTTTAACTGAATATTGTATAGTTTTGAACTAAAGTTGTTAACTTTGAGTTGGACCGTATTATCACACAGACACACACACACACACATAAAAAGTTTGAGTTGGACTGTATCAATAACAAAATGAGTGTAACTCTCTTTATATACCATTGTTGTTAATGCTTCTTCTAGTTGATCCTCTTAAATTAACTCCCTCTAACCATGACACCAAAACTTCGAAGTTGTGATAGAGGGTTGAGGATTATATTCTCATATTCTAACATGCTGCTGCAGGTTGAGTTCCCCTTTTTTATGGTCTGATACCTTGAATTACGCAGCGGTGTCAATTTTTTAGAAAATACACTTTAAATTCATGGTCGGTGAGATTTGAACTTGGGTTGCCCTGATATCACCTTAAATTAACTCCCTTTAATCATTACACCAAAACTGCGAAGTTGTGGTGAGGGTTTAGGATTATATTTTTATATTGTAACAGATCCCTTGTTCCTTGCCATAAAAATTTAACTAGAAAGCTCTGGCTGTCCATAATCGAAGTTTCTTTCTATGCCTTTTGCTTTTCCCTGTTAGTGCCAACTTCATTGCCATCAAACTTTAACTTAATTTGTTATAGGAATGAATTTTGTGCAGCTTGTGCTATGCCGTAGCAAGGTGTATGATATAATATACTTGTAAGTTTTTGAGACGAGGTGATCCAGGTGTGTGAATTGGGCACGCTGTTTAAGCTCATGGATAATCCCACAAAGTTCATTTTCCCTAACGAAAAGTTTCCGGATGAACGAGAGGATATGACAGAAAGATTGTATTCATCTATATGACACTATATAAGGAAACAACTGGATCTTGTTCATATTGTTTTTTTCTTTAAAAGACGGGTCATATTCTGGGTTTGAACCTGAGAATTTTTTATAATTCAATATACCTGAGAACTTTTCTGTTAGCACTGGACCCTCTGATGGTCAACCAAAGTTATTATACGGGGTGCATGTTCAACACCTATAAGAGAATCACAACACATTGACGTCACGTGATACCCACGCGACAGGTGTAGATAAATAGAGATAACTCTGCTTGTACACAAGGGGATCTAAGTGATAGTTAGAAAGTTTACTTTTTTTCAAAGATACACCCAAGTCAAGGAAAAATTCTTGCCTACTCAATGAATACCAACTTGGCCTACTCTAGCTCAATTAAAACGTGAGACGTGTCACTCACTCACTTTAATTATTCAATTCCATTTTAATCCCTTTAACCGACGCCAAAACAACCCTAATTGAAAACAACCATCTTTTATCCACTGGCACCTTTAGACCCTCGAATCATCCAAAGTCACCAAGCCCATCTCATCCTCATCTCATAAAGTCACAGTTGAATTGCCGCCTGAAGGGAGATGGAGCTCATTTTATGAAATTTACCCCAAAAAGAGGGAAATTTGGGCTGTTTATTTGGACTACAATATGTCTATGAACGGTTTTGAGTTCAAATTAGGGAGATTTTGTGTGATTTTGGGGAGGAAGGTAGGGTGGTTGTGTTTGCAAGGGAGAAAGTTGAGGATGGGATAAAGGGCAGGTTTTTGAAGGGTTTTATATGATAAGGAGGTTTATAGAGACGGATTCGTCAGTGTTTTCACGTAGGGTTCCAGCCACTAGGTTTGTTGATGGTGAGAAAATGTGGAAGGTGATGTTTCGTTGATTCGAGGTTTGAAGGGTTGGGTTCTCAATTGATTCGAAGAGGAGAAACAAAAACAATGATAAAGAGAAGAGAAAAGTACAATGGAGGGGGTGAGAGAGATGGAATGAATAATTAAAATTAGTGACTGACGTGTCAGTTTCTGATTGAGCTCAATTATACAAGCTGGTTCTCATTGAGCAGGTAAGAATTTTTCCAGAGTCGAATATATGGGGCAGAACAAAAGTTAACTTTCATATATCTGTAACTACTTGTGGTTGCTCATATTAAGCATGCGATCGTAACAGGCAACTAGAAATTAAGTGTGTCCTTCAGTATATTTCTGTGGTATGTTTCTTGATTAGCTGCACTCTTTATTGACTCTTTACAACAGGGTGATTATTGTGATTGGGTTTCTCGTATTCATGTCCGCGGTGCTTTATGTTGTGTCGAAACAGGTTGGCTTACTGAGATTGCGGAGGACGATTACTGCTGCCATTAAGTCGGGATCAATAGGCCGTGAGGGTTTGGATGGCCTAAATAGTATACAAGCTAGTAATGCCGAGGTTGTTCATCATCTAAATGATGAGATCTCTGAATCATTTTAATTGCTGCAGTCTCAACTTGTATTGTTGTATAGCCTCGTTTATGTTTGGTTGGTTCTTTCGCTGAGAATGAAGAGTTTATGCTGGTTTTACTGGAAGAGTGCTCAATTTGCATGAACTTACTTTCTTTTTCACCCCTTTATTTTTTATATCTGTTTTTGCTTATGTATCAAATTAGCAGTCTCTACTTTCCATCTTCTCCAAAGTGTAGCTGTCTCATATTCAAGCAAACAGATCAGTTGACACAATGTCAGCCTGAGGATCTATATCTAAGACTTGGTGGCTTAGAGCAAGTGCATCAAGCTCCCAGTTGGGAGTCTTAGTCAGCAAGCTCTCAAGAGCTCTCAAGCATTTTAGAATAAAAAAATTAAAAAATTAAGCCTTGGGAGGCACTCCTTTTATGGAGCTCCAACAAGTTCCTAGCTAGGAGCTCTAACAATATAAAAAAAACCCCTCTTCTATTTTAATATTTTACCCATTACTTTTAATTATATTTAAACATCTTGTATTTTATTTCTAACCGTTGGATACGGCCTTCGAGAGAGCGCACACGGTCTTTGAGGTAACCTACAGCCTTCGAGGGAGCGCACACGGTCTTTGAGGTAACCCGCGGTTTTCGAGGGAACGCACACGGTCTTCGAGGTAACCCGTGGTCTTCGAGGTTGGGCATGAAGTTTGAGGTATCGCAAACTTTGACTGTCAAACGACTGATTCTTATAAAATTCGATGGCTTCTCTCCTCAACCCATCATCTCCCAGAACAAAATGTCTAGCCTATCTAGCTCTAGCGATGATGAAATGATAAAGACGTTCTTTCTTATGGGAGCTGATGTCGTTGAGGAAGAAGAACAAGAGAAATGTTCAACTTCAGTTCAACACAAAAGACGTATTGTGCTTCATCGAAATCGACTGGAAGGTCACAATCGGTTGTTCCAAGATTATTTTGCTGACGCACCAACTTATCCTCTTCATTATTTTCGTCAAAGATTCAGAATGACACGTTCGTTATTCCTTCGAATCCACGACGCAGTCGTCGAACATGACAAGTACTTCGTCCAAAAGAGGAATGGTACTGGACAGTTAGGACTATCTAGTCTTCAAAAGATTACTGTAGCTATGCGGATGCTCGCATATGGAGCATCCGCTGACTCCGTTGACGATTACGTTCGGATCGGTAAAAGTACGTCGCTTGAGAGCGTGAAGAGGTTCGTTCGATCGATTATCAACATCTTTGGAGAGGAATACCTTCGTTCATCGACTAATGAAGACGTTGCACGCCTGCTCGAGGAAGGTTCACAACGAGGTTTTCCTGGTATGCTTGGGAGCATCGACTGCATGCACTGGACATGGAAGAACTGTCCAACTGCCTAGCAAGGTATGTATATTGGATATTTTCATGAACCTATAATTATTTTGGAGGCCGTAGCTAGCAAAGATCTTTGGATATAGCATGCCTTCTTTGGACTGTCGGGATCTCACAATGACCATAATGTTCTACATCGTTCACCGGTTTTCGCACAACTTGCGGAGGGAAGAGCTTCACCGTGCAACTATACTGTCAATGGCCACGAGTATAATATGGGATACTATCTCGCCGACGGGATTTACCTAGAGTGGTCCACATTAGTGAAGACTATTCCAGTACCTCGAGGAAACAAGCATAAGTACTTTGCTCAACAACAAGAAAGCGCAAGAAAAGACGTTGAGCGAGCTTTTGGCGTGTTGCAAGCCCGATTTGCGATTGTTCGTGGACCAGGACGTTTCTAGCAACCTTGTGTGCTGAAAGATATCATGACAGCTTGTATCATAATGTATAACATGATCGTTGAAGATGAACGTGATTGTCAATTGGACAACAACTTCGACTTTACTGATTCGGTACCAGTCGTTGAACCTTCTCATGTGCAGACGGTGCCTCTAACTGAGTTCATCCAAAATCATCATCGGATCAGGAACACGCAAACACACAAATCACTAAAAAATGATTTGATCGAGCATCTGTGGCAGCTCAAGGGATCCATCGACGAGGATTAAGTTTCTTTATGTCTAATGTAATTTCAGAAAATGAGTTCAAGTTGTTGTACTACGCCAATTTTATTTTCAATAAAGTAGTTGTTTTCATTCAATGCCAAAATTTTCAACTTCAAGTACAATCATAAATCTAATACAAGATAATATTTGATAATTAGGAAGAACTAATGAGGATGCGATGCGAGTACAATATATGATAATTAGGAAGAACCCTTGGACATCCACTTCTCCAATATCTCTGCCTGACACATTTTAAAGTATTGTCGTTGAACTGAATTGAGTGTTGAGAGATCCATCTTCATGATATCGTCATCTTGTTTCTTTTGTTTTAGCTCTATTTTTTGATTGGTGGTTTGCTTCATCCACGCGAAAGCCTCTCCCATGATGGACGTAGCGGATCCAAAGTTTTTCACATTTTGTTTCCTCTTGAGCTTTGCCGCTTTCCTCCCTTCAAGCCTTACTAACACATCATCCGAGTCAGTGTTCAACTCGATGGGGGTCGCTGGCATGGAATTGTTTGGTGAGGAATCAGAGTTCGTGGTTCTTCTCGGCTGTGATCGAATCTTATTGTAAGTTTCCATTTGTTGGATCCACTTTTGATGATGACGCAACTCAACCCAGCAATGGTCAAACACGAATGGTTTACCATAAAGAGATTGATATAATTCTTTTACTTCTGCAGTCTACACAAGAGTTAAATTTAGAATAATCAAACATAATTAAACATATATATTCCTCTCTTCAATGCTTTGTTGTTTACATAAAAACATATAAGTTAAAATATTTACCTGGTCAATAATTCTCATACCAGATCTTTGTCTTCCTTTAATCTGAGCAACACACCCGCAGAACTTGTTGACGGACAGTTGAATCGTTGACCAACGATGCATCATTTGGTTTGGTGTGCGGCTCGTTGGATCGGCGGAGTATTGGATAAAGTAGTCGTTAGCTCTGTGCCAAAACTTATCTTTGTGTTGTCCCGTACCTTGGATGGCGTCTTGGCTCGTGTTCAGCCAAGCAGACACAAGAAGCTTATCCTCGTGGACAGTCCAATTTTTGGACCGCGTGTAAGCATTCTTCTTCTTCGTGGTCGGTGTTTCTTGGGATGTCACTTGTTGTGTTGCGGATTGCGATAACTCGATGGGATGACCTTCTTCTACGACTTCTGTATAGAACGGCGAGTATAAGGTCGATCCTTCACCGGTAAGGAGTTGCGAATAGTAGTTGTTTTGGGAGGGATCCATGAGATTTGTAATTTGATATGAAAATATAGAGTTTTTTTTATGAGAGAGTTGTGTGGAATGATTTGTGTAGTGAATTGTGAATTTATAGATTTTTTCTTACTGTTCAACGGTCATTTTTAACGGCATTTTTTCACTCAACGGCATTATTTTTCACTCAACGGTCATTTTTAACGGGCATTTTTCTTACTGTTCATCTGCATCATTTTCAACTCTGGTGGCTCATTTATTTCATTTATGGAATCTTGTGCAGCCAATTAAAAAAAAATTTACATAAAAACTCTTCATTATCTCCGTCGCCCCAAATCATCTTCCCTTCTCCGTTTCCCCAAATCTTCATCTCCGTCATCGCCCTGGCTCGAATCCAGTCCTCAAATCTTCGTTTTCCCAAATCTTCGAATCCAGTCCAGGCCTCTTCATCTCCCCAACCGATCGCCCCAATCAAGGGTTCCCCAACCGAGCCCCCGTCGAATCAAACCCTCTCCCGCAACCTCCGCCGCCGCCGATCGGAGAGGATCTAACTGCGAAGGTGAAGTTCGCACCGCACACAAAAGGTTGGATTTTTGGCTTCAATTTTGGGCAGATTTCACTATTTTTTTCAGCTCTGCAATTGTGTACTTGGTGGGGGGGGGGGGGGGGATTCTTTCTCAGTTGGGAGCTCCCAAGCGCTCTACAAATTTGTGGAGAGCTTGGGAGCTCCGAAGCTCTCCACCGCCACGTCGGTCTAAGGAGAGGGGCTGTTAGAGGGGTGGCTGCTGTTTTCCACGGCCACGTCAGCCTTGAGAGCTCTCTTCAGAGCTTGCTGCCCTTGCTCTTAGGGTAAGTTTGAATAGCTTTTTTAGGAGTGAAGGGGAGGAATTGGAAAGGTTATAATGTTAATCACTCTAAAATTGTGTTTGTTTATGTATTTTTAGTGAGTGACAGGAAGGATTAGGAGGGTTAAAAAAAAGGTAAATTTCCTTACTTTCCTAATCCTTCAAAAGTGGAAGGGCTGGGAGGGGAATGGTCGAGTTCTTAGTGGTCTTTACTTCAAATTTTAAATTTATTCCTAGACTTAAATTTATATTTGTCATGTAGTTTTCCTCCATTCCTTTTCCTTTCTTTAAACAAACACAAATCATAATACACGCCTCTCTTCTCCTAGTTGTCTATTCAAAGTTCAAACACAATTAAGTTCGGCTAAATGACTAAATTAATATCTAAAGTAGATCTTCTTTACCAATAAGGTATTGAAAAAAAACCTCCGGTCACATTTTATTTGGACTCAGTTTAACAATAAGAGCCACTTTCTCAAAACTCTAGTTGGAAAATTTTATTCCAACTCCCTTACCGTCTAAAATTATTAAATATACACTCAAAATTAACCTCTTTTGCATTTTCACTCCCGACCCTTTCATCTATCAAATATAAAATAATTTTCTCCACCCTCCAAACCATACAACCAAACTTAAAATATTGAATGCCATGGAAATGTACGCGGATATGAGCGTGTTAGTGAACAAACCGGGTCATGGCCATGAGCTAACAACGAAGCTTTATGCCCACTTGAGCTCAACTTCAACTGAATTGTGCAATTCTTTAGTACAAGAGATAATTGCGTATCTTGAGAAAACTATGTCCATAACCAAACATGTAACGATTTTTAGAACTCGCAAAACCTCGAAAACTCTCAACATAGAAGGAAAAACAAAGAGAACCACACACAAGATTTAACGTGAAAAACCCACAACAGAGAAAAACCACGTGTGATAGCCTGCAAATAACTAAGTGTTAATCTTTTTTGACTTATCGACACGAGTCCCACTCCACGCTAGATCATACATGATCAAAGCCCAGATGAATCGAACCGCTACTTCGACCGACT